TAGTAGCTTTTTGCTCCTAGCAGTGATGCCAGGAGCTACTAGTAGCGTCCTTGCTCCTAGTAGAAATGCCCTTTGTTACCAGTAGCTGCAGCAGCTTCTTGCTCCTAGCAGTAATGCCAGGAGCTACTAGTCGCGTCCTTGCTCCTAGTAGAAATGCCCTTTGCTACTAATAGCTTCTTTCTCCTAGCAGCAGCGCCAGGAGCTACTAGCAGCTAGCAGAGGCCTTGCTCCTAGTAGAAATGCCCGTTGTTGCTAGTATCTTCTTGCTCCTAGCAGTAGTGCCTGGTAGAGTCCTTGCTCCTAGTAGAAATGCTCTTTGTTGCTAGTAGCTTCTTGCTCCTAGCAGTAGTGCCAGGAGCTACTAGTAGAGTCGTTGCTCCTAGTAGAAATGCCCCTTGTTACTAGCTTCTTGCTCCTAGCAGTTGGTGGCGTCCTTGCTCCTAGTAGAAATGCCCTTTGTTACTAGTAGCTTCTTGCTCCTAGCAGTAGTGCCAGGAGCTACTAGTGGCGTCCTTGCTCCTAGTAGAAATGCCCTTTGGTACTAGTTGCTTCTTGCTCCTAGCAGCACTACTGCCAGGAGCAAGAAGTGGCGTCAAGTGGCGTCCTTGCTCCTAGTAGAAATGCCCTTTGTTACTAGTTGCTTCTTGCTCCTAGCAGTAGTGCCAGCTACTAGTACTGAGAATTCGGTGCGTCATGGAGTGATGGATGGAAAAGCTCTGTCGACACTGCAAGCACCTGGGATTGCCATAGAACCACTTGGCACAATTCACCTCCACGTTGAAACGTGACTTCCGAAGCATATGCTCAGTGACCTTGGAGAAGCAAGCGGCGAAATGCTACGGTACACCTGCACTCACTACACTTCCCAATCCTGTTTCTTGTCCTGCAGCATGATTTTGCTCGGATCGCTTCGCTGTGCCTCAGTTTTGCTACCTGCAGCCCCCGACTGAATAGTTTTGCAGCGAGTGAGGGCTAGAGCAAGTGTCCTGTCAGGACAGCATCTTTCATGCAGTAGTCACCGCTGGAGCTTGAATGCGGAAACACAACGAGACACAAACAGCTGCTAGGAGGACGCTACTAGGAGCAAAGGGCATCGCTACTAGTAGCAAGAAGCTACTAGGGGCTCCTGGCCTTACTACTAGTAGCAAGGACGCTACTAGTTTTTATTTGTGTTCCATCCAATTTTCAAGAGGCTTGCCAACTCGCTGCAAGAGCTGTGTTGCACTAGCGACCCAAGCCGCTCAATTGTGACTTGGAACCAAAATGCTTGAGAAACAGTCTCTCAAGAATCATTGGCATCTTCGCCCACACTTGAGACTCCACTACCAAAACGTGTGAAGGCAGCTGACTGGAAAGCTGCACTACACAGTGGAGCTGATGCAAACACACTGGCAAGGCGAACCGCACTCCTCAAAGAGGTCTTCAGCATCTTTGGGCAAATCGATGGCCACGGTGCGCTGCACCACGTGACCAAAATCCTGAACTCAGGAGATAGGCTTTAGCCAAGAATTCAAGCAGCTATACCAAATCAAACCCCAAAAAGAAAAGGACCCCGTGGAAATATCATTGTTTTAGAAAAGACTACCGCAAACAATATGTGCTGACGATGATGAGACCGATAGGGGTGATGAGGGACTACCACGATGATGAGACCCTCAGCCCTGCTGCAGAGCAACTCCCGTGATAGCAATTGGCACCTTCGTCCAAGCAACTCCCTCAGACGTCACAGCACTGTCAGGAAACACGCGGTAATGAGTAATGAGCGCTACGGAGCAAAAAAGGGTGATTATGTTTAAATCTGTTGTGATGCAAATGCACAATAGCACTTAATATTGTTCATGCACCCTTGGCAACTCAGAAGCTCTTCTTCTGAAGGTATAAGAAATTCGGTCAACAAACTGGAAGATTGACACGCAGTATTGAACAAACCAAGATCAAGTGTTCAACCAAGGAACACCCTGGGAGGCAACGACGGCTGTCATGCTCCACTGTGTTACTTGCCTCGTGTTCAGAGGGTGGTTTTGAGATGAGAGGACCAAGCAAGTCAAGAAAAGAGACACAAAAACAACAAAAGGAAGAACCATGAAGAACCGGGCTGATGGACGGCTGGGCTTGCAGAGTTCGTTTCGGAGCGGCCGAAACCATGAACTACCGGCCTTCCCTTGTGCCGATCATCATTGTGACCAGACTTCTGGACAGCAGAGGAAATCTGCGCTCTATAGTGCTGCTCATGGTTCACTTTCTTCAAGGGCACCTCCACCTGTCAAAAAAATGAACGCAGTGGCATGCTGCCAAAGGTGTAAGTCTGAAGGATGTGAATCATCGAATCACGATACAATGGTCTTGGAGGGTGTGTTCTACACCCAGCTGAACATAGGGATGAACATACCAATGAAATTCAGCTTGGACATTCGTAGTCACTTCAGGCCAAGTGACAATGATGTCGTTTTCGTTGCCAGAATGTGAGTTCACTTTCCAACCTTCCCACACTTTAGCTCTCGGCAGCTTGATGGAAACAAGTGCAGCAAACAACATGAGCAAATGAATGTCTATTTCAGTCTATTGTTCAAACTAACTCGTCTGAACACCAAGTGGCTGAATTTTTGTCCTGCATCCGAGCATGCAAAGGTTGCTCTCGAATCCTCACAATGGAAAATTGAACACAATCCTCAACTTCCAAACTCACCGCCGGGATAACATGTGTTTTTATGTCGATCATTGAAGAGATTAGTTGCAACATGTTGCTGTCTTTGTCTTCCATTCTCTTCCCTGTGCCAGACCTCCACAGGATCATTGGGTGAACTGCAAAGCTTCGAATCCTGTCAACATAGCTAAATGCTGGAACCAGCATCAATCTCTGCAACCAGCATTTCAGAACACCGTGGGGATCACGAAATGTGTAATGAATGGGCTATGGACACCATGTGTTTCGAAACGGGAAACGAGTCTCCTGGCATGTGAGGCATGTGCCGTTGGATGTGAGAATCTGCAAGTGTCCAATTTCTCCATGCCTTGACTCGTGAAGAAAACGACAATGACTCATGCAGGCTGCAAAAGAAACGAATGAAGGGTTCGAGCTTAAACATGCCACAAAGGATATGTCAATCAACACACGAGGGAAATCAAACACAACACAAAGGCATGCCACTTGTTTAAAACACCATTACCTTACAAGGTACTGTGTTTTGGGATCTGCAAAATGCACAGCTTTCAGCTTGAAGGTCAGATGCGCTGGGCGACCTGGTCAAAGAAATGAACCGAAATTTTGCTCACAAACCATGGTCACAACATGTCACACTCTCGTTACACAATGCGTTACAAGTCTCTAACGACTCTTGTTCTATCTCTTCTCAATTGTCTGCAAGCGAACAAAATTACAGAACACAATTGCTGCTATCCTTTGCTCCAAAAGAACAAGGAAAGGCAAAAAATAGTGCCAGAACAAGGACCTGTCTCTCCACCGAAACCTTGTGCTTGTGCTGTCCTGGGCAAGACTCGGCTTGGAATCAATCAAATTAAGGTTTACTATTTTCCGCTTTTGGCCGAACAAGAACCAAAAGCGATTCCAACATGTTTGCTCTGCGACTCGATACCAAGTTTCGTAAGGCCAAGCTTGCGGGCAGAAACTCCAACCAGCAAAGCTAGCCACGTCAGCCACGCTACCTTGGCGCGGCGTGGCAACGCGTCGCGATGCGTCGCGACGCGTCATGTGGCTCTGGAGCAACATGTTTTGTGGCATGTTTTTTTGTGCCAAATGTGGGGAACTTGTCGCCAAGTTGCATTCCATTTCATATCATCTACGGTCTTGGGGACGGGTGGCTGCTGACCCTTCCCCTTGAGCCCAAGTTGACACACAGTGGGTCTACAGTACTTCTTGTGAGAAAAGTTTCGGCTTCACAAGTTCCATGTCATGTTCAATCAAGGCCACCAAGAATGGAAGCTGGCTGGCTGTTTTCATCTGTCCACTGTGCCCACTTGTGCATCAGCAGCCAAGCCTGAGTTAACTGCATCTGTGCCCAAGCTTTGCACTGGCAAACATGAGCCAACCTACCCCAAACTGGCCCAAGGCATCCACGTTTGTGATCAAACCTGGAGGCTGCTCACAAAAGCAACGCTACGTTGGAATGGCACCTTCCTGATTCCTCCAGATTTTACCCTGGGGTGCCGACGTGACACCTCGAAGAGTATGTTCGTTCCTGCCTCGCTACCGCACCGTTAAAACAATTGGCCACCGCCTCGTGCCAGTGTTGCAACATGCGTGCGCAAACAAGTCGTCAACAAGGGAGGCCATTGTCGCACGAAGTTCGTGCGGGATACCGCACGGAGCTTGGGAACTTCGTGCGGATGGATCACGCCAAAGTGGCGGGGGAGTCACTCACTCCTCGGTTTCACCATTGTGGGCAACAATCTTTCATGCAAAAAGGATCAAAAAGGGGTGCTTGGATCTGAAACGACCGACCTGCCAGACTTGAGACTGGTACGACCAAGAACAAGGCCACCCGGACCAGCCCGAGTCGGGGGGTCAGATCACAAGTACGTACACAAGCCACGGCTGCCACGGCCACGATAGTTGGTGGCATATTCAAACGGTCACCGTGGACAGCATTCACAAGTGGAGACACTGTGACACTCTCTAGAATAATGAGCCACCACAGCAGCATCCTTGCTCAATATCTGTCAGCCACAAGCAGCAATGCAATTCCTGGAGACAGCAACCTGGGCCAACGCCGCTGGCACCCACCTGGGCCAACGCCGCTGGCACCCACCAATGTGCATATCCAACCGGATATATGCAAGCCCAATACGTTCGTCCGGATTCTCGGCAGGAGTCGGGTCGCACCACCCGATCAAGTCAGTGAGCCGCTAGCACAAGAATCCTCAACTCCAACCTAATAGCGATGGCCTCCACCTTAGTAGCGATGGCCTCCAACCTGCTCGCACAAGAATCCTCAATGTTCACTTGTGCAGGATTCACATACAACATGCACTTGGAGTGAAAGACTTGGCAAGGCTACTCTGACTTGGGCATCGCTCGGGCATCTACGACAAGAAGGAGAACAGAAACGGCCGCCCACGGTGGCGACATATTCACGAGCCTGTGCGCACTTCAAAGAACAGTCACAAGATCATCAAGCATAGCATGAGTTAGGGATCAAAAAGTACAGCCTACTGCAGAACTTTACTCCTAGTGACTGTCCTGACAGGACCGCTGCAACGCCCGGCAGAAGGGACCAACGCTACTGCGTTGATTTGCTCGATCTGGCTTTAGTTCCGTCGTAGACTGAGCTCTACACCTTCCACGTCGCCTATCCGCCAGACAGTCGACCTGTACATCAAGCTGTCGTCAACTCTGATCACACAAACTTCACCAACACCCAAACTGGGCCAAATGCCGCAAGAGTGCCTTCTCAGAGAAGCGTCCAACAGTGTACTGTGTCGGGAAGGGTGTTCTGATCATGTAGCTTCTGGCTGCAAAACTTTCTACAGTAATACAGTAATTTTTTTTGCAGGTTGAGAGGAGGCCTCTTACACAGCAAGCAGGAAGCCCACTCCAAGCAGCGATCCACGGCAGCACAAAGCAAACAAACGCCCAAAGGAAGGTAGAGGACTCACAGCAATGGGTCACATGAGGTGCGACGCGTGATATTATCTTTTGCGACAAACGACTGGAACCCGATTCTTCAGTTCTTCAGATCAGTATCTGCAAATATCTTCATATTTCCTCGAAAAGCTTTCCCTCTTTGAGGACTTCTCCTTTGGAGTTGTCCCACATCAGGTGATGTCGACTCTCCTTGTGGAGAGAAGAGAGAAAGCGACTTCGTCTCTTCGTCTCGTCCTCCGAATTTGAAAGCATCGCCCAAGTCAGACCGCTGCAATCCATGCGCGGTAAAGCTGATCGCAGTTGATCCGAAGCAAGATCCAATTCTCAGCATATGTTTGCATCCGAGTTGATGCTGTGCGTTAATTGAATGTATACAGTCAAAAAGGACTCTGCCTATATCTCTTGTGCGTGCCTTCGCATGAGACTTGCGCGGGAGGGCGACTCCATCAGCCCTCCTTTTAGCGCGCTTCGCACGCTTCACTCGCTTCACTGGCTTCACTTGGTGGTGCTACTTCACTCTCATCCATGAGGAAAGCAGGGCGCGATGGAATCTGGCAACAAGAGAAGAAGGCGATTTAAAATAGTCAAATTCAAAACAGCAACTGCTCTATGAAGCCAACTTGACAGGGATTGTCTGCTCCACCTTAAGTTGACGCTGTTTCGGTTCAACTCAGTCAATATCGTTCTCAACAGGAGCTGATTGAAAAGGTCGCCTGGATTGAAAATGAGGGCCTCGAACAGAATGGCAGAGCTGGTGGCTCCTGAGTTTCTTCGGTTTATTCATGTCGTCAGAAAATTTCAATTAAATTCACTGCAAGTTCCAAAGACGGTGAACCAAAGCCGGCACCAGTCATCTCAAATTGAGTGGAGACACGTTTTGGAATCGCAAGATTAGTTTCGTTTACCTTTTCTATTGCACATACAGCCCACAATAAAACATCGTTGCGGACCCTCAAACGCTGATCAAACTAGATTCCAAGGAGTTTCTTTCACTTAGGGTTTTGCAAAGGAAGCTGCCACTTTTGTTGAGGGTATGATTCGACATGCTTGTCTCTGCAAATACCCCTTCCCTTTCGTTCCCTTTCGGTTCCTTTCGGTTCCCTTCGTTCCCCTTCTTCCTCCTCCTTCCCCTCCCTTCTTCTCCTCTTTTCTTCTGCACAAGGCAACTCATCAAATGACAAGCAAATTGCTTGCAACAACGAAGCAAAGGATGGTGCACGGTCAAGACTGTGGTTGTTCAAAGCAACTGCTTTGATTGAGAGCTGACCACCCCGCAAAGGGAACTCCACAGCAAGGCGAAGTTGGCACAGACCTGGCCTCAAACCTAGCCTCCGACCTACTAGCGAAGGCCTCTAACCTACTAGCAATGGCCTCCAAACTACTAGGTACACGCCATAGATGGCTGTTGAATTTTTTGTTACTTTACATGATTGGTTGTATTCATTGTTTATTCATTTTCCGCAGCCCCTGGTGAGAAATTGGAAGATCTGATGTGCATATTGGAACACGGCTCCTGACTAGGAAGAAACCAGAAGTTTTCAGAACGCCTTAGAATTACGGTGCAACACTACCACTTAACATTCCCAGCAACTAACGAGACCTCAGCCATTTTTCACGTCTTGAGGAGTCGCCCAAGTTCATCAAAAAAGATCCGTCGGCGCTTTGCCGAACATCTGTTGACGCCACATCCACTGAAAGCATTTTTTGCACTCTACGTCTATTCAAAACAAATATAAAGATGGTGCTATGTTCTGTCGTTGCGAACAAGTTCAAGTGTCCCAACTTCGACACCAAAGTTCAAACAAGTTCCCAGCTGACCCAACAACGATCAGGGTCCAAGCCCGTGCTACAAACGAATCTCACCAAGGGTCAAAGCAATGCCGAGTCAAACCATCTATGTACATATATAGTTTTTTTTATTTGTCATCCCCGTAGGAATTCCCTGCAGGGGTGGAGCCCCCCATTTTAGAGACCTAAACCTATTTGGAGTACCCTGTTTTGTTTTTAAATTCAAATACCACTAGTTTCAGTCCACTCTAAAATGGGGAGCCCAACCCTTAGAAGCGAGCACTTCTGGACCCCCAGTACCTCCACTCTAAAATGAAGGTCTCAAGCAGCGTGTGGTGGGCAAAAAACATGTAAAAAAAATCAATTCTAGAGGACCCCCATTTTAGAGTGGGAGGAGGTCATTTTAGAGGGATCAGATGCAACAATCTATCCTAATCTTATCTAATCTTACTATATCTTGTTTGTTCTTGCTTGCAGGTTTCATTCCTTATCATTCCTTATCATTCCTTGATCTTGAAAGGTGAGCATCAAAAAAACAACGGAAGGAACGGGCGCTCTATAGAATCCAAATCAGTGTCTTGACATTGAAAATATTCTGAAAAAGTCAAAACCAAGCTTGTGAAGTATGTGAACCCATTCACTAAAAGATTCACCATGAAGCCTGGCTCCACCTCTAGTTGTCTCTGAATTTCAAATCTTGAACCCTCAAACAAAAAACTCTATATAAAATGAAATTCATGTTAATTTTTTTGCTGAACAAAATAAAAAAAACACTCTAAGATTGAAGAAGTTACTCACCTGTATCCCATCAAAAATAGATTGCATTTTACAGACAAAAGTGTCTTACCTAAAATAATAGTAAATCCAGGGCTCCAGCCCCTCATTTTAGAGTGAGAAATGCAAAAAGGATATTTATTCTATTAAGGTAAGCACGTTCACCCGCCACAAAGGTTGTAAACAAGAAAACCCGAAGGACAAAACACACCAACCAACCGAAACAACAACACTAAAACACAAACGGTCGCAACGTCTTAGGCCTGTGTGGAAAAAACCTTCGGACAGAAACAGTGTCAGCGACGAGCGAACCGTGCGAGTCCCCCATGCCGTGAGAGGTTCGTGCTTATAAAACAAATAGCATCGAACAAACCCCGTCCATTCCACGCTACGTCAACACAAACATATCATTCAATCCCCACCCTGTGTGTATGTTTGTGACGCTTTGAAACACCTCGGTGTGTATGAAACGAAAACGATGTAAAAAGGTAGCACGAGACCCCAAACAGTGTGTGTGTGTGTGAAGTCTAGAGGTGTAGCAGCAGAAAGTCTAGAGATCGCATTGCGGCCAAGAGAGGTGATGGTGGCGATGAGTGAGAGTGAGAGTGAGCGTGAGCGTGAGGGTGAGAGTGAGAGTGAGAGTGAGAATGAGAGTGAGTGAGAAGGAGACTGAGTGTGAGTGTGAGTGTGACTGAGAGAGTGAGTGCGAATAAGTGTGAATGAGAGTGGGTGGGTGCGAGTGAGAGTGAGAGTGAGTGTGAGAGCGAGAGTGAGAGAGTGAGAGAGTGAGAGCGAGAATAGATGTGAGAGTGAGAGTGAGAGTGAATGTGAGTGCGAATGTGAGTGGGGGTGAGTGTGAATGTGAGTGAGAGAGTGAGCGTCTGAGAGCACAAAGCGCCGCGCACGCAACGGAATCTGCACTTAAAGGTTGACAAGGAGTTGCGCTTGCCACAAAATCTGCACGTCGAGGTTCACAAAGCGCTGTGTCTGCCACGAAATCTGGTTCACAAAGCGCTGCGCCTGCCACGAAATCTGCACTTGGTCCTGCCGCGAAATCTGCACTTTGAGGCTCACAAACCGCTGTGCCTGCAACGAAATCTACGCTTCGACGTCCACAAAGTACTGCGCCTGCCACGAAATCTGCACTTCGATACTGCGCCTGCCACGAAATCTGCACTTCGAGGTCAACAAAGCGCTGCGCCTGTCACGAAATCTGCACTTCGAGGTTCACAAAGCGCTGTGCCTGCTACAATATCTGCACTTTGAGGTTCGCGTCGAAGATCACCATCTCCAAAGCGCTGCATCTGCCACGAAATCTGCACTTCGAAGTAAAAACGCTCCGACTCCTTGCGTGTCAGGAAAAGTCGACTCTGCACCACCAAAACACGAGGTTTTCCTTGCGCCTGCCACGACCATCGTGTCCAAAGATACGCACGGCGGCCCCACAACAAGGACGCAGTCGCGACAAGCGCCCGCTCCAACCAAGCAGATTTTTCGAGCCTGCGCAATCTAAATGCACATGGAGGATTTCGAGAGGCGTGAATTTACTGTAAATAGCAGCGGATTGGCCGGACACACCCCCGCGACACCTCCGATTAGATGCCAGTTCTTAACTACTACCGTTAGAACCCCTAGTGTTTCCACACTGTTTGGTGGAACTAGACGACGGGTGGCCCGAGAGCGAGACATGTGATTGTCCAGTACTGTGGAGAAGACATCGATAAAGAAAGAAAGAAAGGATGAACGTGAAGGAGTGACAGTGTGGATGCGCAGGTGTCATATAGATGTGTAGATGCATGGAGGTGGAGAGGTAGATGTATGCATGCGAGCGTGCGAAGACGTAAATGGACAGAGGCGAGAGAAAAGATATATCTTAGGTTCGTCAGAAGTCAGTCGCTCTTCAATGACAAGTCAGTCTCATTTCAAGACAAAAACGAAGTAAACCGTCAGCAGGTCGAAGCGCACACAAAATGGATTTGTGTGCGCTTCATCCTGGTCCCAAAAACAAGCGGCGAGTAGAGATCCTGCGAGCAGAGGCTCAAAGCAAAGCAGTTTGACTTCAAGTATCAGACACAGAGAAAGCACGCAGTAAGTGTGCTTCCAGTCATCATCTCCACTCTCGCGGATAGGCCCTTCAAAGCACCAACGCTGCGACCTGAGAGCAAACGACATTACGATCAGGACAAGTGACTCGTGCGTTCCAACTGTGCATCGATTGTCGCGCAGGTGAAGTAGACACATATCAACGTCGCGTCCCTTTTTCCGGCACTTGCGGATCCCGTCGTCTAAGCGATGATGTCGCAGTTTCGTCCCGAACAGTCTCGACGGACGACCCGCGACACAAACTAGTCTCGGTGCGCTGTGCTGAAGTCTCTCTGCCATTCCGCGCGCAAACCGTCCAGGTGCCACAGCGCTTCCAAGACATAGGGTCGATTGCGCCAAGGACGCAACGCTGGTCTTTTTTGAAGTAGCAACGCTGGACCCTCCGACCGCGGAGTTCATCCTCCATCCATCCGCCACCGACACCTAAAGGCATTGTTTGCATAATCACTGTTCAAATGTCGTTGAAAACATATATATATATATATCATCCAAATTCTGTCTAGCCTTGCAGCACTGACTCCACGTAAGGCTCCAACCACAACGGTGACGTCATCGCTCGACAGGCTCAAAACTCTTCAAGTGCTCCACAGAACACCGTGAAAGAACCCCTCAAACATGCGAGACAGGAGATTTTCGAGCAATTCCGAGCAAGCCGATACTTCAAATTGACGTCCCAGAGCCATGACCTCTAGACGCAATGTAACCTATTCAGAGAAAAGATGTGTATAAAGAAAGAAGGAGTGACTATGTGGATGCGCAGGTGTGATCGAGCTACCCGGATGTGTGGGAGTGTGGGGGGTTGAGAGGGAGATCTGCGGTGTTTCGTACGAGACTTCCTCCACAAATGAAGCACAAATGAAGCGCGAGAGATGACTCATCTGCGCACTCAAGTTGTACTACAAAGTCGTCAGTTCTCAGCTTCCAGTTCCGCCGCTTGCTCCGCGTACTAAAGTTGTTCTACAACGTCGCCAGTTCTCATCTTCCAGCTACCCAGATACTCCGCGCACTAAAGTTGTACTAGAAAGTTGCCAGTTCTCATCTTCCAGCTCCCCACATACTCCGCGTACTCAAGTTGCACTACAAAGTCGTCAGTTCTTGCTCCGCGCACTAAAGTTGCACTACAAAGTCGCCAGTGCTCATCTTCCAGCTCCCCAGAGACTCCAGGTACTAAAGTTGTACTAGACAATCACCAGTTCTCATCTTCCAGCTCCCCAGATACTCCGCGCACTAACGTTGTACTACAAAGTCGCCAGTTCTCAGCTTCCATCCACAGATTGCTCCGCATA